GAAGGCTTTTTAGCCAATTGGGACAGCTTCACTTTTCATCTCCATACTTTTTTGGAAACTTGAACTTTACGTTTTCAGCCTCTCAGACATCGGTGTTTGTTTTTAATTACAAAATGGAATTAAATATTTTCCTCTTGTAAATTACTGATATTTATTTACAATTTCAGAGAGTTTGTTTTGTCCAAGAATAGTATCAGAAGACTATGCGTCTGGGCATTTTTATGTAGATTTAGGGTGAAATCTTGGCCCCACTGAGTTCAGTGGCAAAACTGCCACTGATTTCAATGGGGCCCAATTTCACCCATAGTATTTCCCCCTTGATTGACCTCCAAAATTCCATAAAATGTTATAACTATTTTGCAAGGCAAATGCCCTTAGCTTCTATACAATTAATCATCATTATTATAGTATAATTGGAGGTAAAGCTACTATTTTAGAGTAACAAGATGTTTGCCACCTAAGAATTACAACTCATTAGCACTCTAAGAATACCCAAATGTGTAATTCCATATAATGTAGTGCCTTTACATGGCATTGTTTTTGAAGAGCAAGTTTAAATTCTATTTGTTTCTATCCCAGGCTTCAGATGTGTAACTAACTGAAGGTTCTCTGAAATAACACTCTTTAGTTTTACATAAAAAGGTTTAAACAAAAATTACTTTAATAGCCCGATTAGTGGGTAGCACACTCATGACAGACAATAGGCGTCAAGTGACCATTTTAAATAGAATTTTAAAATATAGAAAATTAAATATTTGACTTACGTGGCCCAAGTAGGTAACCAGCACTATTCAAAGTCCAGCCCCTTTTTTCTTTTGCCTTACAGAGGGAAAAGTGCAGGTAGTTTATTCATTGCATGATTTACATAATACTTTCTGAAAAAAAGAAACATGAATCTGGAAGGTTGGTTTGTGCAAACAGATTCATTAGGGTTCCTAATGAGCTGATTTTTTTTTTATGAATAAAAAATAAATATTTCAGTCTGGGTGAAACCCTGGCCTCACTGAAGTCAATGGGAGTTTTGCCATTGACTTCAGCATGACCAGGATTTTGACCCTATATAGACAAAAGTGCAAATCACACAATGCATTATAAATTTTAAACCTTACAAGTTATAATAAATGTGATCTGCTCCCAATCTGCTTTACTGAAAAGTATATATATTTCCCTCTAGATACTGGTTTGGATTTACACAATTTGTCGTGTCTCAGCTGTTTATATTTTGTAAGCTTCATTAAAACAAAAGAATTCCTTGTTTTTTTCCTAAGTAACATGGCCATTCATTGAACTTTACAATATAAAACTAATAACCCTTGTTTTGTTTAACTACTTTGTAGCACATTTGTCATAAGTAGATGAGTATTAAAATGTCCAATATTCCCAATTGTTCATCCACCATCCAATATATTCTCGGGCACTCGCTTTGTTTTGCTCAGCCCTATATCTAACCAGGTGCCTGTCAGTTTACTGGTACTTGTCAGCTGAGACACTGAGCATGTCTAATGGATAGAGCCCCTGTAAATGAAATTTATACTTACTGATAAAACGAGTCCAAATGTCTCTGAGAGGGTGGCGCAAAAGATCAAAGATAGAAACAGGAGACTAGTCCACCTCTGCATCTGAAAGGAGACCACAAACGCTCGGGGTTAGTTGCTTTGCCTTCCAGTTTGGGATCCCAGGTATGGGGGTTTAAATCGACTTAGGTTCCCGCAGGAACCTGATGCCTTAAGAAACATCGAGACAGGAGGAACTTATGAGAAGGAAGGCTGTGTATCCCGGGGTGAGTCCTGTGCATCTGAAAGTTCAGGAAGGAACGGCAGAGAATGTCAAATCCTAAGAAAGCAGGAACACCCCCAAAGTCGGAGACGGGGGTGGAACCTGACTGCTGTAGGGCACAGAGGCAGGAGATCAGCCTTTACAATACCGGCCCCCTTTGCCACTTCTACACACAAGTCATTGCAGTCACTGATATGGGGTGTCAGAAGGGAAGGCGTCCAGGGTCTAAGATTTAATGTACCTGAAAGTTAAATACCTCCCAGAAGGCAAAGAGGCTAAAAATAAGGGGAAAGTACCTTGAGTTGGGGTGCGCTACTCTGTTCTTCACTGCACGCGTTCAGTCCTGGCTGGCAGTGGGGCAGGGAGCTGTCTGCAGGCTGCTCTGGGGAATGGATGGTCACAGCTGGGACTCCTCACTGCATGGCTCTGGTGCGCTCACTGAGTAGGGGATGCAATGGAGTGGGGGGGGGCTGCAGTGCCTGTAAGCCCACGACTGCTCCTCCTCTGCTATTTATGGGTTGCAGCACAACTTTGCAGGCGCGGCTCTCTCCCAGGGGAGAATCGAGAGCCGCCCACGTCCCCGGGTCATTTCCCCTCACCAAGTCACTGCATTAGGAAGGGCAAAAATTACAGCAATTCAATTAGAGGCATTTGGAAGCAAGATGTGGGCTGCAGATAGATAACAGCCTGGCCAATTACCTTTCATTACGGCTGGGTTGGACACTGGCCAGCAGTGAAAAGAGCTCTGTTCTACTAGACAGCCTGGCCTGCCTTCTATCTTTTTCCTGAAACTTCAGAAGTTCTTTGTTGTTGTTTGAGAATAAGGAAGGGTAAATTGAACACAGTTCCCTCTTTGGAGAATCAGGTACAGAAGCAGAGCTAAATGGAAAAGGCTCTGTATTATGCTGGCTAATAAGCCTCGTATCCTTGTCAATTACAGTATTTGTTATTACATTCAAGAACACAGAGTCCCCTTGCCCCCCCCTCCCCCGCACCTTTCTCGCGGAGCCCCATGAATCTCTCTTCAGTCCAGACAGACACTATCGGTTTCCTTTAAAATTCCTTTGAATCAGTCTGTTTATTCTAGCATCAGAGCAAAAGGATCTGGAGGAAAACTGAGTTATTTTACTTACTTAAAACTTCAAAGTGTTAAAGGGGGAGCCCTTTAGAAATATATTCTGTTTATTTCTTGTCTGGACTACAGCTTGGTGACATTTTGCATCTAAAATGTAAGCATTCTTTTTCTCAAGTTTTTGTGAAAAAGTAACACAAACTCACCCCACTACTTTTATACTCCACATGTTCACTTTTGGACATTTTAGTTCT